TATAATTTTTAAATGATGGTGTTTTACAGACTTTTCAGGAAACATGGAATTGTTCTATTAAGGAAACAACTAATGCTATCTGTATTACCCTACTTGAATTTATTGCTAAGGAAAATAAGTTCAGAGAGGCTGTATCTTATAGCCTTTGGGCTTAGCACCATCAAATAATTGACTCAGCCAGGCAATAATTTTTTTTCAGTTTTTCTCAGACCGCTCAATGTAGGAGGCAGATGCCATGTTCCATTGCTCTAACTGCCTTTGGAAATAAATCTAAAATACCAAGTTCAAGAGTCTTTCTTTTTAAGGCACAACAAATAAGAGAGTACAATTCCTATGAAGAAGAAAATAATAAAAAATAGCATAATACAAATTTAACTTAAGTAAGAGACTGGAGTACAAACAACTTGAAGCCCCCTATAGTTTGAGAAACCTATTCTAAGCATGTGGGGGGAAGGGTGTTATGTGCATGTTCCTGTTCACAAGCTTGACACACAAATATGGGAAAGCCACCATTGTAGCTTATAAGAAAAAAATATAAAAAATTTAAATTTTTAATATTTTAAATTCATTTTTATTTTTTAAAGTTATTAGTATTTTGCCTGCATGTATGCAAATGTGCCCATGTGTACAATGCCTTTAAAGATCAGAAGAAGGCAATGAATTCTTGGAACCATAGTTAGGGATGGTTGTCAGTCACCTGTGGGTGCTGAGACCTGAACCTGGTTCCTCAGCAAGAACAGTCAGTGCTCTTAACCACTGAGTCATCTCTCCAGACCCATACAACATACAACTCATTCAATCCACATAGAATATAGGAAAGCCGCCACTGTAAGTCATAAGAAAAAAAAAAAAAAAAAAACAGAGAATTTTAGAAAAATAAAAGGATGCTGGAAAGAAAGGTATTTAAATCAGTAGATTTCATGTGCATTTTGTGGATGACTATGACCTCTGGTGTTAATCTAGGGAAATTCCAGCATTTACAGGCCCTAATAGAAGGGAATGAAATGTGATTTTTCTTAAAGCTTGTCACTAGAAGTCACTGATCCTTGTTTTAATGACTTTCTCCCTTTCCTCCCTCTCTCCTCTTCCACTTACCCTCACAAATATAAGTATCTGCTATGTACAAAACACTAACCACATGGAAAAATATTGTCTTTGTTACTCTAATTGCTTAACTTTGCCATGTATGTGGTCTAAAAGCATATATAAGAAAAAGAAAAAAAACCTCAAAGTTATTGATATTTTAAGAGTCTGCATATAAGCGTTAAAGTTATCGAATTTTTAAAAAGAGAAATAGTGAACTTCGTAAACAGGCTCCTGTCATGACTTATAGGCATGGTCAAAATATGCCTCAACATTTCAAAGTTATGGTAAATCCGACTAAAAATACAAGAGTAGTTGGATTTAATCCTGTAGTTTCCAGGATTAGAAGAGGTTTATCACAGTCTCAAACACAGGCAGTTTTTATTAGCAAGGTGATGTTTGCAATGCATGATCATGATCAGCTCACTCCTTAATAGAAGGTCAATAAGGTCGGATTGATTTGCTCTCCCTCTCTGTCACACTGACTTCCACATTACTATTGTATAAACTTTTTCAAATATTGTCTAGGATGAAGCACTTACTACCAATTTTCCTGTTCTGAGGCTTCTCATGCCATGGGCCAAATTTTCATTTTCTTGTTTAATTAGTGCATCCTCTTTGAGAAAAGTGAGAATTCCATATAACTTCACCCTCAAGTTCAGTATATACACTTTGTTTCTACACAATTAAGGATACAATAACACCCCAAACTAAGGTGCACAAGCACACTTATATATTCTATAGCTAGTAACAGCTGTTACGCTATCTGGGGAAATGTACTCTTAAATCTAACTTTATGAACAGGTGAAAATATTAATTTGTGATACAGTTCTTTAAAGTATTTAGAGATAAAGATGAGTCAAACATTTTCACTCAACTATAAAGAGCCACTAAAAGAAGACTATATAAGACTTCTTAAGAAGACTATTTGTTGCAAAGTGTATTAACAAATATTGGATGGGTTTTGTGTTTGAATTAAATTCTCTTAGACCACACGGTAATAATTGGGAGGTTTTAATATTAAATTCAGTGTATTCACTTGAATTATTATTGTGGTGGTGGCAGGTTTTTTGTTTGTAGACAGGCTCTCTGTAGCCCCAGCTGGCCTAGAATTGGCTATGTAGGCCAGGCTGGGCTTGATCTCACAGAGATCCACCTATCCCTGTCTCTTGAGTGCTGGGATTAAAGACATACACCACCACACCAGGCTTGAATTGTTATTTTAAAATACAGAGTTTATTTAGCCTTTGCTGATGTGGAACTATGTAGAGCATGCTGGCCAAAACCTTGGGGCAATCCTGCCTTTGCCTCCAGAGTGCTGGGACTACAGGCATGTACTAGCACACCTGGTAGATTTTGCTTTTTAAAAGAGGACCTCCTATGTCCTAGGCTGACTTGAAACTCACTATTTAGCTGAAGATGGCATCCTCCTGCCCCCATTTCCCAAGTGTAGGGCTGCAGTCTAAGCAGTCACACCCTTCTTTCATTGAATTATTTTCAATAATATTGCTCCTCACACGTGCATTTATGAACTACCAGTTATCCTTAAAATCCAACAACTTTCATCATTCTAAAAATTGTTTCCCACTTCGGAGTTACAAAACAAAAATTGTAATAGATTATAAAGAACATTGTCTTCGATATTTAGCTACTGAAATTCTATTCTTGACCAAGACCATTAAGAAATTCACGTCCTGGTTATTCATTATCTCCCATCATCATTCTAAAAATTATTTGTTTCCTACTTTGGAGTTATAAAGCAAAAAAACTTGTAATAGATTATAAAAAACATTGTCCTCGATTTTTAGCTACTGAAATTCTTCTATTCTTGACCAAGACCTAAGAAATTCATGTCCTGGCTATTCATTATCTCCCATCAACCCCCTTTTTCCTTCTTAATTTATTACTTGCACTCATAAAAAATTTAAATTGCTTAACACATATCCAAAGAATAGCCTGAAATAAATTATTCAGTCAATGGCACCGAACACACACACACACACACACACACACACGCACACAAGCAGATACCAGGTAAGCAACTTTAAGGCAGCTGCTGAGTAGATAATCAAGAAATTGGATCCAGGTGAGAAGTCCAATTACTTAATGGGTGCGATCCACTTTCGCCTTAATTTATTGGTCTGTTATATAGTAAGCTCTATTATAAAAAGCATGCTTTGAAATCACAATTTTAAATGGAAACACACTCAACTGGCCGATTTCTTCTTTAAAAATAACCTTTAGAAGACAGGAATTTCAATTCACAAAGAAAAACAGATATGAAGACTTAAGATGGAGCATCAATAAAGAACTCGCAAAGGATCCCCTACCGTTTTGCCAGTGAATAGCTTGGGAAAAACGCACCATGGCAAATAAATATCAAAGTGCATTTTTTTTTTTACTGGTTTATTAGAGTGTAAAGTCTAGCAAAACACGCTGACCAAGGACAGCGTTTACTCAGTCTAGTCACTACCACAGCATTAGTATTAATTCGCAGTCAGAACAGCTTCGGTGTGCCTGCGCCAGGCCCCTTGCCCAGCCGCTGCAGTCTGGCTGTGGCTAGGATGCTCAGTGTCTGCACGTTAGTGACCTTCCTTTGTTTTGTGTTTGTGCTGCAGGTGTAGAGGAGGCAGAAAATCAGAGGAGCTGGCGGTCCGCGGAGGCCGAGCAGCCCCCAGACCCTGAAGCAAGCCGCATCTCCACCGCCGGAGTAGCCTTCCGACCTCCCCACTCGCGCTGCTCGACAGCCTGAGCGTGAGCCCGGGACCGGCGGCCGGGGGCGCTAGCCCCTCATGTTCTGGAGAACGAGCAAATGTGAGCGGGAGCTACCGGGGAAAGCCCTCCGCCCCCGCCTGGGGGACCCGGGAAGCCCGCGCGGGCTCCTCCCGCGGACGCCGGGGATCCCCTCCTCCGGCCCCGCCCCCACCCTCCCCCGGCCCGGGCGCCGGCCGTTAACCCTTTCCGCGCCGCAGCCTACTTGAGCTTAGCGCAGCCCAGCCCTACTCCAGGACCCTGGAGCCTGGCGACAGGGATTGATCCCGGCGCTAGGTCGGTTGGGATCTGGCAATAGCCGAGCCAGGTCTCAGGCCCTGGGCTTTCCCTCCAGCGCTGATACACTGGTATAACCAGACGCCAAACTTTTTTTTCTCCCCAAACCAGTGCCCCCGCAGCTACTTGGACAGCAGCCTGAAGCCCACTCTTTGCCCGACGAACCGGGAGAGGCGGGCATGAGGCGAGCAGGCGCTGTCACGAGGCCCTACATGGCGAGAGGGCGGATGAGTGGCTCGGGTTTCGCACTGTCCTGGCGCCTGCCCCATGGCCCGGGTGGCCGGACGTGCTGCAGTGCCCCAGGCAGGTCATTCGGACCCGCGCCTCCGGCAGCTGTCAGGGGGCGGTGGCGGCACTAGGGCGCTGAGCGCCGGTCTCCCCCTGCCCTGCAACCCATGGCTGTGCATGCGGAGTTCGGTCTTCCCAGCCATGCTCCCGCACGCGCGCCATCCGCAGGTGGAATCCCTGCGCTCCAGCACCCTCACCTCGGCCGGGCTGGCCTGCGCCCCCCGGGGTTTTCAGTCTGCAGCTTCCCCTCCCCACGTCTCATACACACGTTCCCCTGAGCCGCGCGCGCCGCAAACTCAGTCTCGGTCCCCGCAGGTGATGTCATGCCCATTGTTTTGGTGCGCCCAACCAATCGGACTCGCCGCCTGGATTCTACCGGAGCCGGCATGGGCCCTTCCTCGCACCAGCAGCAGGAGTCCCCGCTCCCGACCATAACGCATTGCGCAGGGTGCACCACCGCCTGGTCTCCCTGCAGCTTTAACAGCCCTGACATGGAAACCCCATTGCAGTTCCAGCGCGGCTTCTTCCCGGAGCAGCCGCCGCCGCCACCGCGCTCCGTACACCTGCATTGCCAGCAGCAGCAACAGAGCCAAGACAAGCCCTGCCCGCCCTTCGCGCCCCTCCCGCACCCTCACCACCCGCACCTCGCGCACCAGCAGCCGGGCAGCGGTGGCAGCAGCCCATGCCTCCGGTGCAACAGCTGCGCCTCCTCGGGTGCTCCGGCGGCGGGGGCGGGGGCGGGGGATAACCTGTCCCTGCTGCTCCGCACCTCCTCGCCCGGCGGCGCCTTCAGGACCCGCACCTCATCGCCGCTGTCGGGCTCGTCGTGCTGCTGCTGCTGCTCCTCGCGCCGGGGCAGCCAGCTCAATGTGAGCGAGCTGACGCCGTCCAGCCATGCCAGTGCGCTCCGGCAGCAGTACGCGCAGCAGCCCGCGTCCGCCTCCCAGTACCACCAGTGCCACAGCCTGCAGCCCGCAGCCAGCCCCACAGGCAGCCTGGGCAGCCTGGGCTCCGGGCCCCCGCTCTCGCACCACCACCACCACTCGCACCCGGCGCACCACCAGCACCACCAGCCCCAGGCGCGCCGGGAGAGCAACCCTTTCACCGAAATAGCCATGAGCAGCTGCAGGTACAACGGGGGCGTCATGCGTCCTCTCAGCAACTTGAGCTCGTCCCGCCGGAACCTGCACGAGATGGACTCGGAGGCGCAGCCCTTGCAGCCCCCTGCGTCCGTCGTAGGAGGTGGAGGCGCGTCCTCCCCGTCTGCCGCCGCCGCAGCCGCCTCGTCCTCAGCCCCGGAGATCGTGGTTTCGAAGCCGGAGCACAACAATTCCAACAATCTGGCGCTTTACGGAACCGGCGGCGGCGGCAGCACTGGAGGCGGCGGCGGCGGCGGCAGCGGGCATGGTAGCAGCAGCGGCACCAAGTCTAGCAAAAAGAAGAACCAGAACATCGGCTACAAGCTGGGCCACCGGCGCGCCCTGTTCGAGAAGCGCAAGCGGCTCAGCGACTATGCGCTCATCTTCGGCATGTTCGGCATCGTGGTCATGGTCATCGAGACCGAGCTGTCGTGGGGCGCCTACGACAAGGTAGGGTCTTGAGCCCTTGAGCACCGTCTGGGAACTGGAGCCAGGTGGTTGGGATGGACACTGGCGGGAACCCCATGCCTGCGGGTGGCGAATATCCCCCGGACCTGCTCCGGCCTGTCGGAGCAGCGGGTGAGGCTAGGACTAGCACCCCTGGTCCGCTGGGCAACTAGGAATTCCGAGCGCACCCAAAGTTCTCTGAGTGTTCAGTGCCCAGTGCGTCCAGGCACGTTCAGTAAGTGACTCTGAGAGTTGATGAGGAAAGCATGTGTGTTCCTCTCGTGGCACTCCAGGCTAGGAGGCACCTTTCGACCCAAAGTGCTTAACTCCAGAGGTACTTCCTATCTTGCTTTAGCAAGTCAGTTGCTGTGTTTTGGTCCATGATGGTGCGGACCTGCAGCCAAGCCAGGAGCCTTCCCCCGTTCCTGGTTCCTTTCAAATGGCTTTGAAGCTGAGTAATCTGCATCCTAGAGCCAACACAGCTTGCCCCCAGCCAAGTCCCTTATTTTGAGTGCACAGGACTAACTCTCTCTCTCCTGTCCTGGAAGGTGGTTAAAAGTGCTTCTTTCTTAACACTATTCCATCTGACTGTTGCAGGCGTCGCTGTATTCCTTAGCTCTGAAATGCCTTATCAGTCTCTCCACGATCATCCTGCTCGGTCTGATCATCGTGTATCACGCCAGGGAAATACAGGTAACTTAGGTTCCGCTGTTTATGAATGATCCCAAGCCATGCAGATAGCCTGGGGGAAAGCAGGGCAAGCAGGGGCCTTTTCCAAACCACTGTGTCCTTGCTTGAGGGTACAGAAGACACATGCTGGGTTCTTATGTCAGCACCTGACTTGTTTTTGTTTTTAGAAAGTTAAAAAACAAAATAAGCCAATGTAGCACACAAACAGGCAGTCATTTATGGGATGTCCTTGTTAAAGTCTTAAGATTTCAATCTTATTTAGGTAGATATTACTTCTATCAGTCATGTTTTTTAAAGGAGAGTTAAGCATCATCCTGAGTCTGTACAGTAAACATGTGTTCTTGTTTGAGACACTTTGTCGTAATGAGTACATCATTATGGGAGCTCTTGTCCATCGGTATTGCCTTCTATAATGTGGCATTGGAAGAAAGTTAGCTCATGATGCTGATGGTTTATATCTGCATAAGAAAAGCTAATGCTTTTCTGTATCTCTCATACATTTTGCAATAATTCACTTAGTCCACAAATTTGGAAAGGCTACTAGCTTAGTAGATTATTAGTTTCAATTGTTGCATTTTAAATGCCACTTAAAAGTTAAGGCCACTGACCTCATGAGTTGTCTTGACAGGGGAATATTTATTTTGTTCTTTTACATTTGGGAGCAGTTGACAAAATCTGCTACTCAAAAAATGATGAGTTACCTCCTCAGTTGTTCACTCTAGCCCACAGTCAGATGAGTGTTAAAGTTTGGGGCTTAAAATGACTAGAGTATTCAAAAATCAGATTGAAATTTTCAAACTTAGAATTGATAAGAATTAGAGCCATTGTTAGGCATTTGGGTACAGTGAGAGACTAGGATGCCATCAAATTTAGGTTGCCTTCAAACAGAACAGTGCATGGATTTGTCATACAGCTTACTCTCAACTCAAGTTAAATTATTTTAAAGTTAGTAATTAGCAAATGTACACTAAAGATTAAGAAACTAATTTAATCATCTCCCTAAGAAAATATTCAAATAACTCCAAATGAGGAGGAAGATATGACTTCATTTCACTTTCCTGTTTGCTAAAACTTTGGAAAGTGTTTTTAAAGGGATGAGGTCAGGGAATGAGGATAGAGCAAAGGAGAGTTTGCTGAATGAATACTAACACTGCACTGGTAAAATAAGGCATGCATGGGTGAATTGTTAATCCTAAGAATTTATATACATTATCCTTTACTTTAGTCCTTGTGATGGTCAACTTTGGAGAGTCTTTCAAATGTTTTACAGTGCTACTATGATATAATTTAAACATGAGACCTTTTCACTTGAAAAGTAGACAGAATTAGAAGTACAGAAATGATTCTTGGACTTAGTTTACAGACAGGGACAAAGGAAGTGAGTAGCTTTGCCAGATCAAGATCCCAGTGTGAGAGCAGGCCCTGTCCTAGCTTCTAAACTAGGCTTTGTTCTGCTGAGCTTTGCAGCTGCTTGCCCAAAGCCCTGCAACATAAGCAATGATTTATCTGTTTTCCTAAAGCTTGTTATATGAATAGAGTTAAGCTTAAAACATTAACTCTAGGATGCTATTGTGTGTTTTTAAAGAATTAAACAACTTAAAAATATTTTGCATGGCGACTAGCATGGATTTTTTTAATCCATTATGGAATGAAAGAGCTTGTATTTTTAAAAATTAAACATCAACTTTCCCAGTATTGACTGTTCCTTCTGAAAAGTGCACAGCTAAACAGGCATTGAAAGGGGAAGGAACTTTGCCTGTGTTATCCTCAAGTACACAGTGTCTTCTAAAAAACATGACCTTTTAAAGAATTATAGAGAGGTCTTTTTGTTTTTGACATAAGTGTCTAAGAGGACTGCTACATGTTAATTATATGTCCTAAAATTTAATATGGTGAGAGAATTCTAGAAATGTATACAAGAAATCATATTTAATATTTTAACAGATTATTTTATGCTTGAAAGCACTGCCCTTATTAGATAATTTATATTTTTTTTCTATTTGCTGATCAGGGTAGTAGAACACGCATGAAAATGAGAGGACCAGGGGTTGGCCTTCTGGTGAATACACACAGTGAACTTATTTACTATTGCTCACATAGATATCACAAAATGCTATGTTTTTAAAACTGGGTTTATGTATGTGCTGTATGTACTATGTATCTCTGATATACCTCTCATGTCTGTTACATTTCAAGATAGATGCTTGGGTAATAATAATTTGTTATTTTGGATGCAGATTTTACACTCTGTGTTTGATCAAGAGGGATTTCAAATTCTTATCTGAAACACATCTTTAAAAATTACACAAAATGGGCTAGAGAGCTGTCTCAGCAGTTAAGAGGGCATACTGCTCTTGCAGAGGACCTGAACTTGGTTCTCAGCACCCACATCTCCAGCTCCAGGGGTATCCTCAGCTTCTTGGGTACTGGCACGCATGTACACATACTACCCCTCTACAATACACATAATTGAAAAATAGAAAAATTAAAAGCTCCCTTAACACTTTTTAGTAAGATAGAAAAGGACCAAATACAAGGGAAGACTCTGAGTTAGAAGTCAAGGAACACCAAAAAAGGTAGGAGGTTCTCATTTGCCCAAAGAACATAATACTTTGCTCCAAAGCTCAGTGAAACTGAGTGTACGTGATTATGTATATTCATGGAAAATGATTAATTGTGCCCTTCTTTCAATGTTATTGGTATCAATATGGGAAGTATATTTCTTTTATATAAAATTTTAAATTAATGGACACTTCAGCGTTTATTATAAAGAATTCTAAATATGATGATTTAACTCAGCTGAGGAAGTAAGAACAGGGTATATGCTGACATTTGGAGCATTTTCTTGAAGGGAGGATTAGCAAAAAAAATGACAGTTTTTGTTTTTTGTTTGGGCATATCAGTATGATAATTGAATAGTGACAGCTAGCCAGTGTGAGTTTCTGGTGTGTGATAGGATTTCCCATTGCATTCAGGAAAAGTCAGTGTTTTAGTTGATGTTCTGATTTCTTGTCTACGGGAATCAGTTAACCAAGCTTGGGAGTCCCTGACATTTTCATGGAGAACCTTGGAAAGCAAGTCAGTGTGACCTTTTATAAAGTGTTTATATACACTGTGGTAAAATAAGACGGTCCAGGTGAGTCATGGGTGGAAGTGCTTGGATTAAAATAGTGTGATGGGGAGGCTTTATAAGCACAGGGCTCAGTAAATTGCAGCTTTGGTGTCACTTTTCAGTACCACAGACAGCTCAACGCACCAGCTACATAGTTTCCTCATTCACTAATGACTTTCACTCCTCACAACCAAAATTGAGATGACATTTTTTCTTTCTTTTTTTAATCAGAATGCCTATATAGAATCTAGTAGCGTGGGAACAGATTTTTCAGCTGAGTAGATATCAGACTCTTATAAATACCTATTTGTGCTTGTTTTCTATATCAGTGAGTAAAGCCAGAAGAAAAGAAATGCAGGAATAATGAATCTATAAATAAACAAACTTTAATAAATGCTTATGTAATCATTATCTTTTGACAAAGGCGAATGGCGGTAGGGATTTTTAAAATACAGTGTAGAAATGTTTCTTGATACTAAATAGCTTTTTATCTCACCTCTCAAGGTCAAATAATAGGACAAGCAGAAGCCTGATTTCCAGTGACTTTTACTTCTGCTCTTACCCCTGCTCGAAGGATGGAGATGTTTTTTAAAAGAATAAGTATAAAATAACTTATATGCTGAAGAAAATTTATATGTAGATTTAATTTACTCTTTTTGCTTTTATTGCAGTACCATTTTTCTTATGGCAGTATCTTTAGTAAAAAACAGAGTTGCTTGGTATTTTTAGATTTGCCAACACAAGATTATAAAGTCTGAAAGGAAGTCCTGTAAACTGGCACCTGGTCGTTATGGTTCTTATGGAACTCAGAAGAGTGGCAGGTACTATAAATTAGAAGCATTTTTGTAACATAATTATGTGATACATAATATTAAGGAAACTAGTTTTCTTTGGTATCATTTACAATGGAATTACTACGCACTACATTCAAGTTAGTTTTTTGAAGATGAATTATTAGGAGGATGGAAATTAAGATTTCTCTTTACTTGTGCACCAAGTCCCCCCAGAGGAGGAAGAAACAGGAGAAAGAGGTGTCTTAGTGACCTATAATGTCTCCTGGATGGTTGGCGAGGGTTGACTCCTCATTGATTGATATCAGTGGTTCTCCCTGTGAAGGATGAGAAAATTTACTTTCCTATTTCTATAGGGAGCAAGAAAATGATTCAAGACTATGAAGAAAATACTGCATATAGCTCTTATTATTCTTTATATAACAAATACGAATAGTAAAAGTATTCAAATAGTGCAGAATTTAATGAGAAACTGAAAATCACATTCAGTGTATGTTTGGTTCTGTTTCTCAGATGTAACCACTTTTAAGGTTTTTTATAAATATTTTATTATTTTTATTTTGGGGGGATCTTTTTGAGACAGGGTCTCCCTGTAGCCCCAGCTGTCCTGGAACTCACTTTGTAGACCATGCTGGCCTTGAACTCACAGAGATCCACCTGCCTCTGCCTCCCAAGTGCTGGGATTAAAGGTGTGCACCTGTGTATGCGTGTATTGCCTGCATGTAGGTAAGTGCACCCATGCATGTCATACAATGCCCGCAGAGGTCAGAAGAGGCTGTCAGATCCCCTGGGACTGGAGTTACAGTCAGTTGTTAGCTGCCATGTGGGTGCTGGGATTCAAACCTGGGTCTTCTGCAAGAACACCAGTGTTCTTAACCTCTGGTCAGTTGTTAGCTGCCATGTGGGTGCTGGGATTTGAACCTGGGTCTTCTGCAAGAACAACCAGTGTTCTTAACCTCTGAGCCATCTCTCCAGCCCCCACTTTTAAGATTTTTATGCATCCTTTCAGAATTTCTAAAGTAAATACACACACACACACACACACACACACACACATATATATATATGGCATTTATTCTTTAATATATCTTGGAGGTGTT